TTTTTTGGAAAGTCTAATAGATTCAAACGGTATTGCACAGAGATCTGAGACATCGAAAGAGGAGGTAGCCTCTAATTAGATTTTAGGATTTTTTCCTTTGGTGTTTTCTTTATTCTTTTTTAGGATAAGAAAGAATCACAATTCCTAATTGGAATATGGTGTTCGTGGTTTATGTAATAAAATAGGACCTTAGGTACTTTGTTTTGAATCATATATCATTTGCTTTCAGAAAGCAATTACATATTTTGAATAGATCATTCATAATCGTCTTGTATTGATCTAACAGTGAGCTTGCTCCTTCAAAATCAAAATCAAACTTTATTCGGTCCGAGATTGAACCAAACCCAAGTCAGAAATCAAAATTATTTGGAAATTTTCTATATACATTATAACCATTTGGTTCGTATAAAGAGACAGTCGTATCAGTATGGTTTATTCCAGAAAAGTTTCGTATTTTACCGGGTTCTTCTTTAAACCACCACAATCAGGTCCGGTTTGGCAAATTGATTTTGGCATTTTGGTTTAGCAGATGCAACGACGCCGTCTCAAAAGTTCCCTTTTAGTTTGGATTAGGGCACAATTGACGGAGGTTTCCTTCTCAAATCTCCCAAATTTTTCAGCCAAAGTTTCGATCTTTTGTTTGTAGAAGAAGAAGATGCCATCGGAGGATGCGAAAGCTATGAAGAAAGATGAAGCTGAGGAAGACAATAAGAGCTTGAGTTCCCTTGTTAGAAAGAAACCCACGAACGCCAACAATGGTGGTTCGTCTACGACAGCTTCGAGGAAATTGAAGAAAGAGAACGAGCAGGACGACGATGATAGCAAACCCATCAATTCATCTTTATCTGGGTCTCGCTCAAAGCAAGTGAAGAAGAAGGAGATTGTTGAAGACGATGATGAGAAACCAATTTCCAAGAGAAATTCCTCTGTTGGAGTCTCAAAGGTTCGTTTTTTTAGTATAGATTCTTAGAGATGAGATTAGTGTTTGAGAAATTTGGTATGTATCGGAAAATTGAGAGAAATGTAATGGTTAGGATGGTGATAGAATTGATGTAGCATTGTGTTGGTGTCTCTGTCTCTCTGGTTTTT